CCATTGCCATGGAGTCAATTCCAACTCATAGTGACCTTATAGGACAGAGTAGAACTGCCCCATAGGGTTTCCAAGGAGCACCTGGTGGATTTGAACTGCCAGACTTTTGGTTAGCAGCCAAACTCTTAACCACTACACCACCAGGGTTTCTTGAAGAGAAGAATAGAGAAGTGAAATGACCCTGTAGTGGTTGTGCATTAGGGGCGAAGGCAGGTGAAGCAGTCTTGGGGAAGGAGAAAAAGGGTGGGGTTGATAGGAAAAGAGAAGAGGACAAAAAAGGAGAGTAGGGGTCAGGAGGTAGGACTCTGCGTGTCTGTGCAAAACATTCAGGAGTGGTGCCCTGTGACAAGGCAAATGTTGGGGTCAGGGACTGTGTCAGCCATCTGGTCATCCAGAGTAGGGTGTGGCACCGACTGTCACTTCATGTGTTTGAGGTAGCCAGGCCAGCATTCCCGAGGCTCTTTGTATCCTCATCCCCAATTCTGGGCACTGCCCACAACTGAGTAGGGGTGCCCCCAGCAAGCCAGCTGGCTGGGTGTCCGAGGAGTGCTGAGTCAAGTTGCCTCTCACACGCGCTTTAGCTTTTCTACCAGCGTAACTCCTTATAAAAATGACATGTGTAAGCATGGGCTAATTACTAACGGCTGGCCCTTGTTAAGCAATTTTAAAGAAGCAAGAAGCAACTTAAGGCAAACTATAAAGAAATTCAAATGTAATGCCATTTTTAAGAATTATTAATTGCTAATTTTTGAAGACCTAAAAGGAAATTCAGCCTGTAAGTTTTCTTAGAGTGAAAAAGCTTGAGGGAGACGGATGGAGGGAAGACAAAGAGGGAAGGGTTGGCAGCGTCGTCACTATACGTCTTTGGCTCTGCCAATGTGTACTTTATGGTAGCTGAAATTGTTTTTATTGTGAAATATGTCATACACATAAAAGAATGTATAGGTAGTATACCTACCACATTTAGTGAGAAATAGAACCTATGTGTAATTTAGGAGATTCCTATGTGCCTCCTTCTGATTGTACCCTCTTCCTTCCTGGCCCATGAATGATGCCTTCCTGGATTTGTGTTAATAATTCCCTTGCTTTTCTTTACAATTTTCTAATTTATGTAAACCAAAAACCCAAACCCAATGCCATCAAGTTGATTTCGACTCCTAGCAACCCCATAGAGTTCACAAGGCTGGTAAATCTCTACGGAGGCAGACTGCCACATCTTTCTCCCGAGGAGTCGCTGGTGATTTCGAACCACCAACCTTTTGGTTAGCAGTAGATTGCTTTAACCACTGTGCCAGGAAGGCTCCTTCTAATCTGTGGATACAGTTTTCTGGTTTTCTAGTTTTTAAACGTCATATAAGCGGAATCCTATTGTATGTATTCTTTTGTGTCTGGTTTCTTTCGTTTATCGTTGTTTTCTGTAGCTCTGTTGTGTTCATTTGCTCTGTGGATTATATTCATTGTATGAACACCTACAGTTTATTCATCTTTCTACCCTGATGGCTTTGTGGTTGTTTCCAGAGTTCTGTATTGTGAACAAAGCTGCCGTGAACATTCTTTTCCATGCCTTCTGGTGCCTTTGTGCAAGAGTTTTTCTAGGGTATGTGATTTTTTTTTAATTGTGCAAGTAGTACATGTTTAGTGTAGAAAATATTTTATGATTATTCTTCCAAGCTTAAAAAATAATAACACCTCTTGAGCACTTACTTCATTAACTCATTTAATTTTTAACTTAATTAACTCGTTTAATTTTCACAACTACCCTCTGAGGTTGATGTTATTATTCCAGCTTTACAGATGAGGAAACTGGGGCCCAGGGAGGGTAAGAAGCTTGCTCAGGTTATGCAGTTAGTGGCAGGCTGGCACTCAGAGCTGGATGTGTATGTTCCTAATAAAAGGGATGAGTTTGTCTCATTGCACTCCACCTATCCACTGTCAGCCGTCAATAAAAGCATCACACAGATGGCATTTGTATATAACATATAAACACACACACTTGCTCATCCCCTCTCTCTAGTTCCCTCTGTGGGGCACTTCAAAGTGCTCTCAGGGTTCAGGGCCAGAGGATGGAGGAGAATTCACCCTTGTCCTTGGGGAGTTCCTATTTTTAAGAGAAAAGCTGGATGCATACCCAGATTATGAACAAAAATGCAACCCTTGCAACACACCAATGAGTAAAAATGCTTTGTTCATGGATATATACCAAGCGCTTGGCACATAGTAGGTGCTCAATAAATATTTGTTGAATGAATGAAATGAGTACCAGCTGCATATTAAGTGCTGAGTAATGGAGCCATCAAAGCTTTGTGGTTAATTGTGCAAAGCTTTCTGGTAGGGTGAGGTGGGGAGGGGGAGAGGACCAGATGAAGCCAGGTCAGAGGGTGGCCATTCCTGGAGGTGGGGTGGGGAGGCATTCCTGGCTGAGGCCTGAAGGAGTGAAGAAGTGAGATGTGTCCTTGACCCAAGGGAAGTCCTTGACCTCAGCTGTGATGAAACTGTGGGGAAAGCTAGCCAATTTGGGGAAGAACTCTGAAAGCCTTGGGCAGAGTGGACACTGGGGGTAGGGTTGGTGGAGGAAAGAGAGAAGGGGATTGGGAGGAAGATTTCTAGGGAGAAGGGAGCAGGGGGAGATGCTGTGGTCTCAGAGTCTATTACTTTCAGAGCAACTTAGAAAAAGGGAAGGAAACTTGGCTGGGAGGCAGGGAGAAAGGGAGGC